GGGGGAGGCAGCGGGGGACCCAACCTTGATGTGAAAAAAGTTTTGAAGATGAGGAAATTCAAGGACAATGGATATTAAAGGTGAGTTAGAAGATGTAGCATAATAGGTCTTCAGGGAAGGTACTTTTCTGACTGCGTATGTCCTTCAGTACCATTCTGTATAACTCTGCAAAACTCAGCCTAATGTCCCTTGGAGTATGACACACTAAATGTAGGGCTTACTCTAGCATACCAAAACCATTTTCAGTCATGCCTCTGTCCTGCTTATTCATGCTGATCAGGAATTTAGCATACATACGCATATGCATGCAATCAAGAAAACTCTTTCACATAAGTAGTATTGTGTAAGAACAGGAAGATATGGACTGCTTTTAAATCTCTGTTGAATGTATGAATTTATATATAAGCAGTTTGAAGGCAACATCCAACCTTTTTTCTTACAGTAACGTTCTCCCTGTTAAGCCCTGTGGTTGGACATGTTCATCATCATCTGTAAACAAGACTTTGGGACCATGCTGTCAGCTTCCAGGCTTACATAAAGGTGAATTAAAAAATAGGTGTGCAAAGGGGAAAACACAGCTAGAAAAAGGGTTAAAGAGAAGGTTTTGCTTCTCGCAACAAAGGAGGAAGAAGTAGTTAGAGACTAGGAAAGAAGAAGAAGTAGTTAGAGACTCCTCTGCTCTAGGGAAGAGGCAGCAGAACATCTGTGATTTTGCAGGGAGACAAGAATTAAGGATTATTTGTCATTGGGAAAAGAGGCCAAGACCTTGGACACATCTGTCATTTTTTGGCCCCTACAGTGTTAGCTGAAGAGGTTACAGCCTGCAGCTGACCATCAGCTTCTTAATGCCATCTCAAGGCAGAGATTAATTTCCTCCAACCTGCCCCATAATTCACCAATTAAACAAATGCCATTTTCCCTAAACTAATTAGTCAATATAAACCAAGATAACTTAAGCAGTTTAAATAGTAGATTTACTGTGAGTCAAAGAGGGGTTTGACACATGGGGAAGACGGTGCTTTGATGTGTTTTCTTTTCCAGGTTAAAAGGATATATCTTTCCAATAATCCACCATGATGACATTCCCAAGTTCTACTGATTTCATTATAAGATTCAGCTGAGGTTGTATGCTGTGAAATTTTGAAAGTAACACTTCACAGAAAATGTTGAATACTTGCCTTCCCACATTTCCTTGTGTTGTATCCATCTCCTGTTATGAATTTAAGAATACAGTAAAAACATCATGACCAAATGCTTTTGTTTAGGAAGGTAATCTACAAAAGCAAATTGATCCAAACTGCAATAAAAGTTTTCTCTAGACTTGATCAAACTGAGTTCAAGAAACTTTTTCAAGAAGCACAACAGCTACCTGGAAGACGGCCATTAGGAGAAGATGTTACACACAGCAGCAATGCAGGAAATTAAGCTGTAGGAAATACCAGCACTGCCAGATTACCACAGAAGCCCTGTGTCTGCTTAAGTATAATTTCTGTTCTTATGTTTTATAGAACTATCAGACAATAACCTGACAGAAAAACCTAAATTATTGAAGCAGAGCTAATAAAGTCAGCAAAGAAAAGACAGAATATATGTCAGTTCCAAATCAAAACTAAAACTTTTCAACTAAATGTAAAAAGACACATTGCAAGGCACATCACAGTAGGAAAAAAGTGTTCTTGGAACACCATTTGATTACCTGACATCAGTGCATCTACAAAAGAATGAAAACTGTGATGATTTCAGGGACTCTCTTTTTCAAGAGTTTTTGCCATTTATCCATTGAGATGAATAACCCATGACGTGCAGCAGCTAACAATCTATGAATGAGATTCTGAAGGTTTTTGCAATCATGTGGAATAATATTTACAAATCTTCATAATAATTTTTAGTGCAGATCAAGAATCCACCTCTGTATTTCTAAACCCCTTGTAAACATGGAATAGTCTTAGAAAACATCTATGTCAAGAATGAGAGGTTTCTAAGTCACACAAACATCATTCATTAACATTCAATTTTAGGCAAAAGAAGAGAGAACATGCCCAGAGCAGCCAGCTGATTAGAGCCTTGAACATGAGTTTCCCACAATCCAGATGAGTCAAGAATCCACCTCTGTATTTCTAAACCCCTTGTAAACATGGAATAGTCTTAGAAAACATCTATGTCAAGAATGAGAGGTTTCTAAGTCACACAAACATCATTCATTAACATTCAATTTTAGGCAAAAGAAGAGAGAACATGCCCAGAGCAGCCAGCTGATTAGAGCCTTGAACATGAGTTTCCCACAATCCAGATGAGTTTCCTAGCTATTAAATATACTGGCTGGGGGGGGGGTGACTCGCTCAC